CTTCTGCTGTTGATTTGAGAAAAGATGTTATGATGGAGGTTCACAAATCTGAGTTCTCTATCCACCCAGGTGGAGATAAGATGTATCAAGATATAAAGCGACAGTTTTGGTGGGCAGGTATGAAGAGGGACATAGCCATCTTTGTCTCTAAATGTAATACCTGTCAGATGGTCAAGATTGATCATTAGAGACCGCCTTGTTCCTTGCAGCCACTTCTTATACCAGAGTGGAAATGGGAGAGTATCTTTATGGATTTTGTGGAGGGATTACCCACTTCCAACAGGAACCACAATTCTATTTGGGTTGTTGTTGATAGGTTGACTAAATCAACTCATTTCTTGCCTAGTCGCACTGATTTCACTTCAAAATAGTTAGCGAGGCTTTACATTGCAGAGATTGTAAAGCTGTTTGGCATACCGATGTCTATTATATCAGACAGAGATCCATGCTTTGTATCGGGATTTTAGGGGAGTTTTCAGCAGGCTTTGGGTACCGAATTACATCTTAGCACTGTTTATCATCCTCAGACTGATGGGCAGACTGAGAGGGTCAATCAGATCATGGAGGATATGCTTCGTTCCTATGTCTTTGATTTTAAGGGCAACTGGGAAGATTATTTGCCACTTGCAGAGCTTGCCTACAATAATAGTTTTCAGAAGACTATTGGTATGGCACTATTTAAGGCGTTGTATGGCCGACCATGTTGATCTCCTGTTTGTTGGTTAGAGGTCGGTGAAAGCATATTCTGGGTCCTGAATTTATCAAGGATACCTCTAAGAAGATTACTCTTATTCGTGACCGCATGCGCACTGCCCAGAGTAGTCCGAAGAGTTATACAGATCGTCGTACTCGCAGTTTAGAGTTTCAAGTAGGGGATCAGGTGTTGCTTAAAGTATCTCCCATGAAGAGAGTACTGCGCTTTGGGAAGAAGGGGAAGTTATCACCACATTTTTCAAGGTTTTATTTTTTTTTAATTTGATTTCATTTTAGTTATCTATGTGGCTATTTTAATTGGTTGTGCATTTATTTTAGGGTTTTATTTATTTGTCATTTAAATGTTAATTATTTGTTTTAGGATTTTATTTGTTTGTCATTTAAATGTTAGGTATTTCGTGTTTATTTTATTTTATTTTTATTTGCTTGGCCATGTGAATTGTTTGTGGAGTGTTTATCAATTTGTTATTTTAAATGTTAATTATTTAATAGAAATTTTTTAGTTAATTGTATTTTTTTTATTGATGTTATTTTATATATTTTTTTTAGTTAGTTGTATGGATGGATAGACAAATATATATATGAATCTATATTAAAGTGTTATATATAAAGGTTTATAATCTGTTAGTGGTATTATTTAGTTATTATATTCTTAACTATATAATGAATATTTATTTAACCATTAAATGACACAGCTGTGTCATTTGTTGCTGTGTAAGTTTAGTTGTTATTAGGATTAGTTTTTATTGGTTAGTTGTGATTAATGGTGTTATGGTGGGCCTATTAGTGTATAGGTTAGAAATAGGTTAGTTCAATCACATTATATATATATAGGTTATGTTCTGGCAGAACTGGGGGTTACGGGAAAAAAAGGAAAGAACAGCGAGCGGCGGCGGCGCGAGAGAAAGAGAAAAAAAAAAAAAAAAAAAGTGGAGAGGAAATCGAAGAACGGCGTGGGCTTCGATCTGGAGCCTTAAAGGCAAGTCTTCTTCTATTCATTTCCTTAAGACTTTATATGCAATATATATCTAGGATGATTATAGGGTGTAAGTAAAAAAAAAAAAAAAAAAAAGAGAAATTTTTAATTGCATGACTAAATCGGATCATAATAGCGTGAAATTCATGTGTATAAAATCATGTATATATAGTTGCTATTTTAGATTTTAATGCCTAAATGGGACTGTTGGGTATTGTTGTTTTAATTATTTATTTAGTTATTCTTGTTTCTTTATTTATTTTTATTGGGCTTAGCGATATTTTTTCAGTACTCATGGCTGGGAATTTGAGTTCTTTGAATTCTTCTTTTCTTTTGCAAAATTGCAGATGCTCATTACTTGGTTTGGGGTAATTTGACATATACATACATATATATATATATATATATATATATATATATATATATATATTGGTGGTTTATTTTGTTTTACATGTATCATGTGGAAAGTATTGGGTTATTAAATTAGGATCTGATACATATAGCAAGGATGAGTTCAGTGGGTGTTGCGAAATTTCAAAGGCGATACATCTTGATTTAGGGTGAATGGATATATATATATATATATATTATAATGACCTGGTCATTTTCATTCCTTTCCCTTTCCTCAGATTTTTACGGATATTTTTTTTCCGTTGATCTTTTTCCTTTCTGAGTTCAATTTCATGTCGCTTAGTGTCATCTTGAGTGCTCTGGAGTGATTTCTGAGACTCTTTTCTGTGGATTGACAACTTCCTATGAGGACCGAGTCGTTCCCACATTTTTCGTTTTTCGATACTATTCACTTTTCGTCCTTTTCCCTATTTTGTCTTTTTCCTGTTTGGCACTTTGTTTGCATAACCACACTTCTTATGTTTGGAGTTGGTTTTTGACTTCACGTATCTTCATTCTGAATGATTTGCATGAGATAATCTTTACTTTCGTGAGAAGGTACTCTGGTTGCTCCCGTTGCCCATAGGGGCATAAATACAAAGTTCTTTGGAAACTTTTTCTTTTCTTGGGGTATTTTTCATAAATATCTTTTGAAGATATTTTATTTCAGGGGTATCTAAGAAAATATCTTTTGGAAGATATTTTCATTCTGTGGCAGTTTCGCAGTTTTCACTTTTTGGAGGGGCCATTGTGCAATTAATGAAAGTTATTGCTCAATGCCTTGTTTTGAACCTGGATCCTTGTACGGGATTCCTTTTCATGTTTCATCGAGTCGTGGACTCTTAGAATTTCCTCCTGGACGATGTTTTCCAGTTTCAGGGTTTCTGGCCCCGATTTGTGCCAAATTTGTTTGGGGCATAACTCTCTACTCGAGACTCGATTTTTGACGCCGTTTCTTCTGTTGTTCATATTTTCTTCTTTGGTGACATGAGCCTCCTACTGACTCATTTTACACTTTTATTGCATATTATGACCTAAGGGTATTTTGGGAATTTTCTTTGGGAAATAAATTCTGTTCTTCACATGGTTGAATAGAAAATGTGATTTTAGGAGGGGGTTTCTTCTTCATGTTTTTCCTAAAAATGTCATCTTAGCATCGGAAATCCATCGCAAAGTTCAGCTTTCTGTTTTCCACTTAGCAGCTTTTTGGACCCTCTGGACCAGATTTCTTGGGAGGGCATTTTGGGCATTTCACAGTGAGTATTTTTTTATTTATCTCAAGAGTCATGTAGAAAACTTGATTTTGAGGGGGGTTTCTTTTTTGTGTTTTTCCAAAAAATGTCATCTAGGCCCTCAAATTTCTTTTTTTTTTTTCGGGAAAAACCCTTGCTGCCAGGTTTTTGTTGAGTTGTAGTACAAGTGTATGGGTCAAGTGTACGGGTGACGAATCTCGTAACCCGTTAGATGAGTGTGGACAGTGAGTTGGTCACTTATTTTTGCTTTCTAACCAGTTACAAAGGTCTCCTAACCGGTTAGATGTTCTTAGGTTGGTACTTTTGACCGTTTTGCCCCTGTTTCTTCCGTTAGCCATATCTTCTTCATCCGGAATCCGAATCAAGTGATTTTTGAGTCTAAGTTCATTAATTTTTCGTTGTCTTTCCAATGGTGTGATCAGTAGCACCCACTATTAAGCTGGAAATGACATTTTTGCCCGTAGGTTCATTCTTGTTCGTTTTTGAAACGTTGTTTCCGTATTTGATTCCTTTGGGTTCCGTGACCTCGTTGAGGGTCACATTGACGTCTTAGAGTCATGTTGTATCTCTAGAGACTGTTGTTTATCTTTTGCTTCTACATTCGGATCCATTATCGGGTCATCTTTCGGTTCATCACTGATGCACCGGGTTGAAAAACTTGGGCCATCACACACACACACACACACACACATATATATATATATATTGACTACTATTTTATATATATATATAACGTGTGGGCAAACTTGGTTATCAAGTTGTGATCAAATAGAAAGTAGTCATTAAGTCACTTTGGGTTGATTATTATGGTTTCTTTCAATATCAACTACTATAATTATGGACTTAAAGTGTCTATTAATGGTTACCTTTTTATGGATGTGAATTGGTCATGCAAAGGTATATGGCTTTACCTATATTTTAAATCACTAGTATGCTATTTTTAATATCTCGTATTGTTATATTTATTTCTATAGCCATTATTGTGATAATTAATCATGCATGAGTTGACATAAATAATTTTACTTGCATTCTAAGTTAATTGTATGATTGGTATAGAAGTTTATACCACTCTATAAAATACTCAGATAAATTCTCTTAATAATGTATGTAAATTTTAAGAATACATAATTGCATATACGTGTATAATGGAGGACCATTGTCAGGATATGGTCTTAGCAGCACCATTATTAGGATATGGCTTGCTGATACATACATGGGTTGGCTAATAAGCCTAGACTCATACGTTTTGTCATATTATTGTTAGGATATAGTTATGACTTTAGATTATGCCATTGTCAGGATATGGCTATAATTACTTACATATGTATATTTTGAGAGTGTACCATAATATGAGCTTGAGATCTCGAGATCTATGGTTAGGGTTGGCATATATTGCCAGATGAGATGAGTAGCTAGTTATAGGGATGTGTGTGCCCTAGTAGAAGAGGTACTCATGACCACCTTGTGTGCGTTTGCATGAGACTTACTATCCGGTTGAGGCTGTCTTATGATCCAATGAAAGTCTATAGTGTGTACTTATGTATATTGACCTACGTAGTTATTGCATGAGTCGGACTAGGATGTATCATTTATCGGGTCTCTATTTGGGATGTAGTAGAAAGGGCTTGTTCGTGGGTTTTGACCCACCTTTGTTGTTATCTTTTCAGGTCCTCGACAGTTCCAGATATAGAGTCAGTTCATGCAGAGCACAGCCAGACTTCATCACTCTTTCGGTGTCATAGACGTAAGACCTCCACTATGTTTTCATTTTTATTTATTATTATTGAGTTAGACATTTATTTATTTCGTCTTTTGTTGGGATTTTTATTAGGTGTCCACATTTTATGGATTCCCAAGATGTACTCTGAAGGTTTTATTCTTATAATGAGAATTTATTGGAGATTGATGTATTAGAGGATTTATTATTTAATTATTAATTTAGATTTCCCTTTCAGCGTTATTTATTTATTTATTTAATTTTTATTCCTCTTGTATTCTATGTTTGTTTATTATTGACTGGCTGATATCCCCTGATTTTGTGCGCGGACTTGATCAACCCGTGTTCCGAAATTAAGAGGTATCACATTTCTCTACTAAGCTATTGAGCTCACACCATTATTATTAACATTCCAGGAAACCGGAGATGATATGGCGAAGGATGTGCACCTACGGACTTAGACGTAGTTATGGCTTATTTTTGTAATAGCCTTGTAATTATGGCCATAACGGCCTTAATTTGTAATTGAACTCTTTTAGGATTTATATATAATAGAACATGTATGATTTCGATTCTTATATGGTGTATAAATGATTCATTTCGATGGTTATATACATTACTTTTACAAGACATGATGTTCATGGACTTGTATTTTCATGTTCTTGCACTTTGGGATGCATCTGCACAGACTAGGAATTGATCTAATCGATCACATACATTTCGGGTTTCATCATCTAACCAGTTAGATTAGATCTATATTTAATACGATCAATTAGATGCTCCCATCTAACCGGTTAGATGGGCTTGGTAGAGAGATGTTTCTTCTTGGTTCCTTATCTAATCGATCAAATAAGGTGTGACTGCCCTGGATTTTTTTATAAACCCAAACTGGATCCAAAATGCGGAAGCAAAATAAAGAAAACAAGTCTCTAGAGATGTACGTCATCCCTAAGACACAAGAGTGGCCTACAAGAAATGGACCAAGGGTAAAATGGTTATTTTACCCAGAAATGGGTGCTACCGTGTACACCATTGGAAAGACAAAGAAAAATGAATGAAGTTAGACTCAAAAATCACTTGATTCGGAGTCCAGACGAGGAAGATGTGAAGATAGAACGAAACGATGTCCTCCGATTAGGAGATACCACAACCCTACAAATAGGGTCAAATGCGCAAGTCAGTGAGGAAGGGTCGATCTACTGATAGCCCTCGGTCGGTTGGTCAGACTTACAAGGTCAGTCGTTCTAACCTACAAGGTTGGTCAGTCACACCTACATGGTCGGTCATTCTGGAGGAAGGGTTATGGCCCAAACTAAACTTTAGCTACTGGAATTGATCTCAAGCATGTGTCAGCCGGCTAATGACTCTTATCAGCCGACCGACGCAATAGACAGCAGTAAAAGCTATTGCTGCAATGCGTGGGAAGGTGTTCGGTCCAACCTTAAAGCTATACATGTTTTCCAAATGATCCGAAACAAGTTTAAAACATTCTCTAGCCTCACTCAAATATCCATATCATGCTAACTCAAAAGGAAACTTTAAGCCATACATACAAAATAAGCGTCAAAAAGTGTACTTAGGTACACATTACATGTTTAAAATCAAATATACAAATTTTGACATACAAGGCTACAAGTAGCATTTCAAGCCAACCTTTATAAGAATTGAAACCTTCAAGTCTACAAATCATCCAAACATAATGAGAATCTCGAACCTTGATTCCCGCACCTAAAAAATGTCCCCACTACATGGGTGAGTAACATAACGCTACTCGTAGGAGATGAGCATGCATAGACCTAGCGTTTTACTGTTTGTTCAATTGTTATAAATTAATACATATGGTCCATGCCACCTAGCGTCTATGTCAAATGTGAGACTCAGGGAGCATCCTAAGCTACTCATGCAATTGAAATGAACAACGGCATACAAGTATACATGCTCAAGTATACTAAACAATATTAAAAACATGATACACGACATACAAGCATACATTTTCAAGTACCCTAAATCATGTTAAACGAGATAAGCAATATTTAGCATACATACACAAGTATTCAATATATATAGAGTACTCCTAAATCAAGTATACAAACACAAGTATACTAAGCTAAACGAAATACGTATAAGACAAGTATACACGGCACAAGTATACTAAATAAAATTTAAACTCACGGAGCAAGTATACAAGTTCAAGTGTACGATATAGGATTCAAATGCCCAAAGCAGCTACAACTAATCCATGATTAACAACTTAAAATTAAATACGAAATCAAATAGTGGAAAGACTAGGACACGTGGTCATAGACCAAGCAAGTTATTCTGGGTAATTACGACCCACAAGGTACTACTTAGTGCGCACTTATGACTTAGAAGACTATTGTCTCCGTACTAGAGCCAAACCCTAGTCATCACCTATATTATGTCCTTACAAGTTTTTCAAAATCAATAAGTTCAAAACTTATGCAAAATTAAATGCAAGTTGTTATATTCCATACACAAGTAAGGTTAAATCCACACAAATCATGTCCTAAAATTCAAGTCTAAATAGCATATGACATGTCATGTCCTCAATATGCAATTTATACACAAAGCAAGAATATTTTTACAACAATTGAGCCAAATTACCATCCTAAGCCACAAGTACTAAATAAGCTACAATTTAGTAACAAGCTTTTAAGGTAATCAATTGTAATATTCTAAACAAGCTATATACCTACACAAGATATATTTAAACAAGCTTTGCAAGACAATGATATCATATATCATGCTAAGTCCAATTACTATTTTAAGATGCCAGAAGTACTAATTCTACATCTAATTAGTAATATGCTCACAAGGTAATTTATTGTACTACATTTCATAAGATTATCGCCGTAACATGAAAGGTCTCTAGATTTCAATCAATTCCAAATAGACTTAAATTAATATATGTTAAAGGTCATAACATGGTCTTCACATATATCGTACCCAATATCAATTTAAGTGACTACAACACTTAAAATAAAATTAATTATGCTAATTAATTAATTTTCTCTAGATTTTTAAACAACTCTAAATGTCCTCAATTTAACACAGGTTAAAGAACACACCAAGGCCTACTTTAATATCACATTACAAGTTGATTTACAAGTTGATTGCATTCTTGTTACAACTATGTGAATTAATCTTTCATAAAAGATAAATATTAAATAAAAGTTGCAATTCTTATTCAAATGCTCCCAATTTAATAGATGTTTATAAACATACCAATGCCTAATTTACTAGCATACCATAATTTAATTCTAAGGTGCATACCATCATGGGTATTAAATCTTAAACATAGAAAATAATTAAATTAAATTCTAGATCTTGAACAAAGGCATGCTCACAAGTTGTATATGTTTATAAAACAATCAATACAACTCAAATATAAACCTATGACATCCCCTACCTCAATTTGAGATGAAATCTCAAATCCCTACCGAAATGAAACCGCTCCGGATCCGACAAAACTTCAGGGTTTTGTCGGGGACAACAAGGTGATCATTAAACCCCAAGGGAGTCCTACCAAAATCCAAACTTGGCTTCAAATCCGAACTCGAAAAATAACAAAAAAAAAAAAAAAAAAGGATTCTAATAAGGGGGAAAGAACCACATCGCCAAGGCCTACGATAAACACTGAGGCATCACAATTTTTTACTAAAGGGAAGGAGTCCAAAGGAGGAGGGAGAAGGTGGTAGCCCCTTGAGATTCCATGGCTTCCGGCTAAGAGGGGAAGAAGAAGAGAAAATCTGACTTTTTCAATTTAGAGACCCTTATTTGTAGAAAAACCCTAAAAGTGCCCCGAACGGGTCCTGCCGGGTCCGGAAAAGTGAAATTTGAGCAAAAGCCCTCAAATGGCAAAACATTATGAAGGAAAAAGAACCGAAATAATAAAATATGAAAAATAGAAGAAACGGCGTCAAAAACCGAATCCCGAGCAGAGAGATATGCCCCAAACTAGTTCGGCGGCAACCGGTGTAAAAAACCCGAAAACTGGGGAGATCGACCGTAAGACAATTCTAGGAGAACACGACTCAATGAAATGTGAAAATGAATCCCATATGAGGATTCAATCCCCAAGGAGACACTTAGCAATTAACTTTTATTAATTGCACAAAGGCCCCTACACAAAAGGATAACTACTCAACTGGCCCAAAATGAAAATATCTTCCAAAAGATATTTTCTTAAAAACCCCTGAAATAAATATCTTCAAAAGATATTTACGAAAAACACTCCAAGAAGCATCAATGTTTCTGAAGATTCCTTTCATCCACGCCCCTGCGAGAAAAGGAAACAACCGGCGAGCTTTTCTCCAAAAGTAAAGCTACGCGTTTCAAGGAAAACAATTGGAATGAAAACTCATGAAGTCAAAACTCAATTCCGAACACGAAAAGTGAGGTTATGCCAACAAAGTGACACACAGGGAAAAAGGCGAAAAGTTAATAGTGTCGAAAAAACGAAAAATGCGGAAATGACTCGGTCCTTTAAGGAACTTGTCAATACAAAGGAAAGAATCTTAGAAACCATTCCCAAGCACTCGAGAAGACACTAAGCGACGAGAAACCGAACTCATAAGAGAGAATTCAACGAAAAAAAATTCATCCGTAAAATTCTGATAAAAAGGAAAGGAAGGAAAATGACCGAGTCATTACAACCTACCCTCCTTAAAGAGATTTCATCCCCGAAATCAGGAACATTCCTGGAAGAACCGTACAATGACCAAACCCATGGTAACAACAAGGAATAGATCATAAAGTACCCAAGGACAACTCCAAAGGTCTCAAGATCAACGAAGAGACACGAAACCGTGAACAGTGAGACACCTCTCCAAACGAATTGACATACTAACCCAATGTCAACCACCCAAAGGAGACCAAGGCAACTACATGTTGAAACAAGGAACACAACCAGAAGCAACGTGGCAGCATGAATAGTGGCTAGAATCCGCCCACAACGTACTCAAGGTGCGGTAGCATCGACAACATCAAACGCCCGCCCACACTTATATTACTAGCTAGGTAATGCAAGGTACCATCGACGGCAACTAACACTCACCCACCACACACAACTTGTATGGTAACATGACAGTATAAAGCCCTAATTCGTCACCTGCCCCCAACAAGCTTACCCGTGAAAACTATCGATACAAATGATATCAACGTCAAAATGATTATTACCAAAAGCACTATCGATACAAATGACATCAATGTCAAAATGATTATTACCAAAAGCACCACGAAAACCAGGCATTTTGTAAGAGTTGAGATATGGTCCAAAGACATCCGGCCAGACCATTCTGGCCAATCCCAAAACTCTGATAACAATGTCATAGGTACCGCTACGCTTAAGGACTTAAATCCTCAATAATGGAAAAACTGACTACCCCAAGTCTCAAAACACCGTTGTCAACCACACCAGTCACGAATCCAAAGCCTGACAAGTCTGTGCCCTCAAGCCAATGGATTGCACTTTACAAAATCAAACGACATCACCATCACCCTAGTCACAATGACTCCCAACATAAAAATGCCCCAAAGTCCTCCACATCATCCTAAAGCTGACCTACTACAAGGCTGAGCCTAAGAATCAAGACACCGGATCAAACTCACACTCA